ATAGCGCTAACACCCTTTTCATAGTGAGTCTCGATTGTTATAAGCGTGTCATACTTGCTTCCAAGTTAGCTAGCTCACCGATCGCTCCTTTTTCTCTCCATAGAATTATTCCAGCAGATTCTCTGAATATGTCCCTTTGTCTAACTGCGGAAGACTATACAGTAGCATGGTTCTCTCCCTTGCATTTTGAGGCTAGCGCTGCCCTTCTCATGCTAGACGAACACCACGTGAGTCCTGTTCCGAATAGAGGCCAACAGCTATGCTACAGGTTTGGGCGGATGGGCAGGACCAACGTTGCAATCGCTTTCTTCCCAGATGGAGAAATCGGAATTGGCGTTGCCGGCTACATGGCCTCGGAGGTCCAGCGTGACTTGCCTAACGTCAAGACTGGCCTCCTCGTTGGTGTAGGTGCAGGTATACCTCGATATGGGCATGATCTGCGTCTAGGTGATGTGGTGATCGCTACTCCAACTGAGAACAACTCCGGCGTTTTAGGGTACGATATGGTCAAAGTCGAGCCGGAGAAGATCGTTCTCAAGCAATGGCAGAATGCACCCGATCGGCATATACGCTCCGCAATGACCAATTTCCGGGCTTCCCAGGAGACGCCTACAAGATTCAAACTAAATCTCCAGAGGTTCAAAGGGACAAGCTTCCCTCAACAATTTGTGGCACCAGCCAATGTCCTCTGTGGGTCATTTGGGGAGCAACGTGAGCCTTTATTCCACTATGGCTGTATTCTGTCTGGGAACAGTGTTATTAAGTCTGCCGATCTACGCGACGAGTTAGCCCGTGAATACAAGGCCATTGCGATTGAAATGGAAGCAGCTGGAATGATGAATACCTTACCAGTTGCAGTGATAAGAGGAATCAGTGACTGGGCAAATGCCGACAAGAACGACGTTTGGCAGGGTTATGCAGCAGCAACCGCTGCGGCGGCAGCAAAGGAACTCCTAGCATGTTTAGATGGGAGCAATTCGATCAGCTGTAAGTACCGCACACTTCCTTACCTAACCAAATGCATTTTCTCACACTCTTCAGACGGAACTCAAATAAGGGACCAATCTAGAATGAATAGAGAAAATTTGAGAGTTCTATTGACCAGCAAAGCCGCCGAATATGGACAACCAAACATGGACTGGCAAAATTCTGTTGTTGATTTGCTCAAAATATTGAATCTAGATTCATCGCCCGGAGCAAGAAAGAGACTAGCACAAAGATGGAATATCTTGGTCGGAGAAAATGGCAGTGCGTCGCGAAACGTAGCTCTCCACAGAACCATCACCGAAAGGCTTGCGACAAACAACGGAGTGGTTCCAGACTCCCTTCTAAGGGGTTTATCGGTGGAAGATTACGGCAGCTAGATTCGAGCGCTTCAAGAGACCAGAGACCATTTTCTCTTGGCAGTTTTCTCTCGTCGTCTATCTTTTGAGAGTTCGGATTCATAAGTATTGCTAGATTTGTATGTTGATTTCTCGGTCATTTCAGAGCTTCAGAAGATCTGACAGCCCGGAAAAAGAGTGCTGGTGATTTATAATGGACTGTTGATCCGAGAGTAAGAAAAATAGTCAAGCGAGCCCCTGAGTGTAGATAAAGCCAAAGCTATTGTATTCTAATTATCTACAAACCAGGTGGCCGGTACGTAAAGCTCGGGAAATGCGGAACATGCTGCGGGCCTACGATAAGCAGCCTCAACTTAAAATATCACTGATTTATATGATTTATTCTACCACCAGCTCGGATTTTCCATCTACCAAATCCAACAATGAGGCTATTGAGTACACTGAATATATTGCGAACAAAATTCCATATACCCCTGACATGAAGATACCGGTATTTTGTGGCTTCTTTGAATTTATATAACAGGGGGTGACGTCAAGGCCAAGGGTGCAATACTTTGAATAGTTTTCCACTAGAATCAAAAAGCGCTTTTACTCTTTTTCTACGCTAAATTACCTATTACTGACAGAGTGCTATGGAACATGAAGTAACTACTAGGTCATTAGGCGCGGGGTATAGGCGGTCGACGAGCATAAAAAGGAATGAATAGCCGGCGATGTCTAATCATCCCTCAAACCCCAAGCTGAAGGACAGCATTTCACCATGGATCACCTTACGACTCTGCTGCCTGAGCTGCAGATTCAAGTCATCGAGTACCTTGACTATCCTTCCCTAGTGGTTTTGTCACAGACAAGTCAATATTTCCGGTCTATTGTGCAAGTCCAGAGCCCTATGACTCCGCAACAGAAGCTATCCTACATTTTCGTCGCAGAGAATTGGAGAAAGTAAAGCATCTATGCAAATAAATCCCTGGTTACTTCTCATCGTCTTGTATACTAACCTTTGAGAAAAGGAATGAAAACCACTTCGCCTGCCCCCGCTGTCTGAAGATCCGTCCCCGAGTTAAATTTGCCGGCCACCCAGTAATGCGCGATTATTGGAAGGGACACGAAGAACGCAAACGTCGACTTTGCCTCCAGTGTGATCCACCAAGGAGATACGAACAAAAAATAGAGATAGGTTTTAATAGGTGTGTATGCCTTTATTTTGACTTCTGCATTGGAGTTCTGGCCATCATGATGTTTCTTGTGTGGATATCAGTCCCTTCTAAGAGGGCTTCTAAGCAAAGAAATGCTTGATGTAGTGTGATAGAGATATGGCGGATCTGCAGGCAGTGAAACGATGAGATTGTTGCGCTGTAGTGGAGGGGAACATGCGGGACGGAAAAGATATAAACAGGTAAACCAGTAAGGAGCAAGACAAGAATAATAATACACTCACAACTTTCTACCATTAATGCTGATTCATATCTTCTTCAGCTCGGACCCTTATATACAGTGCTATCGTACAATGTCGATCCCTCTCCCTCACTATCTTTTCTCCTTCGCCGCCGCTTCCCACTCTTCCTTCGAACAGCGACAATTGGAGGATTGACACGTTTGATTTGGGCTATTATATAAAGCAGCAATTTCGTTGGACTATAGTAGTCTCGTTACTCGATCGTCACTTCCAATTGAGAATGGTTGATCTTGGGATAGATCATCTGCTTGAATTATCTGAAGAAGGCGTGACGGGAGGAATCCTCTAGCAATTATTATTTGCGATTTAGTCCTAGCGATAGCCTGCTCAATAAAGATGATTGCTCGATATGCCCTAGGTTCTAGCCCTCGGCATATCTATAACGTCGTAGATTTTTTTGTGAATAACATAGCGGATCGCAGTATGGTTATAAGAATCCAGAATATCAGGAACCGCGCCATTTACCGGCAGAAGTTGCACCACACCCGCTGAATTGGAGGTGGCAGCGTAGTCCATACTTCTCGTAGTTATAAGATAGAAATCCAGTCATTCAAAGTATAGCTGGTTGGTTTGCAGCTGATTAAATTCGGGGTCTTGTTTGTCAGATCCAGCCTGGTGCGCTTCAGGTTGTGTATCCTCCGGAGAATGACCGCTAGGCTAGCCGGTAAAAGACCAGGATTCTGAGTCAACAGACTTAGAGCTTGCATCCCTGATAAGCTTAGGTGAATGTGAGATTGGCCAGGTCCTCTTCACATATCAAATATGAACCCTATAACCTACACCTGTCTTCAGTCAGTGCCAGTATTATTTAGTCAGTGTCTGGTACCTGGAAGGTTACGAGAAAATGATAATATTGACAGCTTAATGACTTTGATTTCTTATCTCTTAGGCTGTATTATTCACCACTACTCTATGCATACCATATACTGCTGACTATTTCTTCCTTTATACGCAATTTTCCGTTTTTAGTCGTTTGTAACGGCTATTTTCAATTTTTGCACTTGGAAACATAGTAGTTGTAATAGACGTAAAATCGGAATAAATATAATTTTTTCATGTTATGATGTTTATCTACTATATCCATATTTCGAAGATCTTATTCGCCTGACGACCGCAAATCACCGGCTTGTGACACCATTGGGCGCTGAGACGTGCCGAGAGGGTCATTCACAGCGTCTCGTATTCACCCGCGCAAAAATTGGAACATATACTAGCTAGTCGTAGTATTCGCATAGTCTGAATGTCTCTTTTGTTTGTATCACTGAGTATTGCCGCTAACAATTGGCCACTGATGGCATAAGTACCACGCCAAGTTGGCTTAAAATGCAGACACTTTTCCCTTGAATCTCTTTGTCTTTTTGTTCATTCATTGCCGATGATTTGAATTGGCTTCTCTCCCATTTGTTGTTTGGCCAATCATTCACTACAATCAGCTTTCGTCCCTTGTTTGTTCTTCCGAAGACATGCAGCACTGCTCAAAACCCTGTTCAGCATGCAGCTGGTCCACTGAACGACAGGAGGGTTGCCGCTACGAAAGTAACGTTAAGATCATCCATGCGACGAGCGACAGAGGCGTATGGTCCTTGGGTTCAGATCTGATTCTGAAGGAACGTTCTAATCAAGCACCCAACTTTGAAGCCGAAAATCTGCGTTTCTTGAGGGAAAATACCTCGATCCCAGTGCCCGGCGTGGTTGAAGATTGGGAGGAGCCTAATGGGCACTACTTCGTGTTGACGAAGCGGATTCCCGGCGTCCCCCTCAGCAGCCTCTGGCCGCGCATGAAAATGGATGAAAAGGAACGTGTAGCCAAACAAACTGCTGACTATCTAATGCAGCTTCGCGAGTTGCATTCCAACAGGATGGAGTCCCTTGGGGGTAAGCCAATATATTCTACTTTTCTCTTCCGAAGGGGTTATTATATTCCACACGGCCCTTTGGCGTCTGACGACGACCTTTGGGCCGAGTTGGAGGTGGCTCTTGAACATGTCCCTGTTGAGACTCGTCAGCGACTTCGGCAACGCATGCCGTCTGCAGCGCCGTATACATTTACGCATGGAAATCTCACTTCTGCCAATATCATGGTCGAGAATGGTAGTCTTACTGGCATACTTGACTCGGAGGCTTCGGGGTATTTTCCGGTCTGGTGGGAATTTACCTGTGCTGGGATTGGTCTGGGGGAAGAGGACAGAGATTGGAGAGACCTGTTGCAAGAGTACATGCCTGATTTATCTGAGGCTCGCGAATGGTGGTTGGATTATTGGTCTTTGACAAGGTACCCCAACCGGAATGAGAGGGCAACGGCTCTTCTCGAGCACAAGGAGAGTATCAATTCTGCGTAGACTTCCCAATACAATGTTACTTTCACAATGATACTGGTCGCGCTAGTTCCTCTGCAAGCATAGTCGTAAGCCCCAAGAATGGAATGGAAAGCTCGAGGGAACAGTAGATAGTAATCTGACCCTTCATCCAGTCACTTGTTGATTTGTAGCTGTTATACTCTGGTATTTGTGAACGAACTTTAGCACCTCACACTGGACTTTCGTAGTCCGCATAGACGCGTAATGTAAAAGCTAACTCAGTCGAATTCTTGCTTTTAATCTCAGTTAGTCATTATATGATGTCGAAGGGTGCCTCACTGACAGAAAGAGCTGTACAGGCATGGTTTGTTTAAGTTTGCGTCATGATTTAAGGACCAGTTGAAGGGTTCCTCATCTTCGAAGGTATAACTGAGCAGTGAGTTGCATATTATGAAGGAAGTAATAAAATCTCTTAGACCCGCACCAACAGATATGGGGCAAAGTGATTTATATCTATATTGAGATTTCACCCACGAGACAGTAATCGTATGTGGAGTCAGTGGTTGGTGAAGATGTGCGGGGAGAAGAGGTGCTGATTAAAATATTATGTAATCTAATGAGATGCTGTGGCATCGTAGGCATCACATGATGTTCTTGATATGGAAGTAGACAAGAAACAGTGAGTAGTGATGTTCAATCTTATAATCCAAGGTTCGACTTCTTATGTCTATGCCAGTATCGCTGAGGCCACATCGGCTTCTACCCGTTTAGGAAGGGCTGCGAGAAAGTGAGAAGAGGGCAGCCATATGAACTGACCGATGAAATCATAAGACTACGGGGGTCTGTCTCCGATTTACCTTGATTGAGGGTAATTTATTTAGTATTGTGATTATTCGATTATCGTGCGGACCAGCCAAATGCTAACACACCTATGATCATCTAATTGTGTGTTGGCATCTGATGGATACCCATCACTTCATCATCTCGTGCAGCGAGGTATAAGCCATGGTATGATCCCATGGATCCTAGCACATGTCCAGCGCCATAACCGCAGCTGGCGAGATAAATAGAAGCACTGTTTATTCAACATTATTAATGGCATGGGTAGAGAGTTTAGTAACATCTCTGAGATTAAAAGAGGAAGTAGACCGGGTGGATCTGCATTCAAGCGCAAGCTACCGCACACACACTTATCTAGCTGCATGTCTAGTCGGACAACACATGTGCAGGATCTAATCAGGTTGCAGTCGGGAAAGCCAAAAGGAAGCCGGTCATCATATATCTCTGTTCCTGACTGAAGACCGAATATATTCCGTGACTATCTTGCAGATAACTTTCTGGGTTATGGTGCCTGAGGTACCAATAGACACCTTATTGGTAGCAGATGCATTCCTCGAGTTAGGAAAAGCCATTCTATTAGCTCTCATCTATAACAGTAAAAGCTGTCCATCAGAGCTCCAGCCAAGCAGGTCCTCGAAGGATTGAAATCCGAAACACCGCTTCATCGGCGGGGGGAAATTCATCAATCGGGGATCCGCCGAGCTCCACCGATGGCGAAAAGCCAGAGTCCACCGAGCGTCGCCTCGCCCGATCGAGCAAGCTTGCCGAATCGCGGATCCACGAGGGTCATGGCTGGTTGCAATGTTGATGTGATGATTGATTCATTCAATGTGAATTGCTTTGCTAGACAGCCATTGAGTACTTTTGCAAAAGCAATTGGAGGGTAGAGGATGGGCTGCAGATCGCATGCATGTGACATCACGGGATTGAGGGGAGGCAGTCGAGGATTTCTTTCATCGGCGAATTCCAGTCCTCACAGCTTCCCCGTCATACCGCTGGTTGCTCTTCGGCAGCTCAGGGCAACTGCTTCATTTACTCTACTATAGCCAACAGCTCTCTCTCTACTCTACACCTGTACCTCCATAGAGATTGAACGTTCCTGAGGACTGTGGTGACCCCGCGACGAGGCCACCTGCCCATTGATCTACATCACCACGATCGTCAACGCAACGGACACAGACTCCCAGGCTGCAGAACAATGCATCCATCTGCAGCAATGGAACAGCCGAGAGGGGTAATTTTCCACCACCTGCACCTCCGGCAAAATAAGAATCAGCATTGCCCCCTCCCGCGCGATGGAGCCTCTGTCTCGCGACTCCACCGGCCCGTCAGCGCCTTGAATGGCGGTGGCGACAAGCGACTGCGGGTACACACACCGTGATCGAATTTTCCACCGCCATCGTCCATGCGCCCTCCCCCGCGACTGTGATCTCCGCTTCGCAACGGATTCGGTGCTTTCTCGCCCCTACAACCGCGGAACCCGACGATGCTATCCGCAGTGGGGAGGACACAGCACAGCGGTGGCACGTCATGCCTCGCAGCAAATAATTGTAGTGGATGGGTTGACAATGGGTTGTGTCGATACGGACTCCATTGCCCCTTATGGAACCCTTCTGGATCAACCATGGATGGAGCAGGTCAACCGATGCCACTGGTGATCCACGACCCTTCCGCCAGCTGCCGTCCATTGGCCCGCCCGATGGATCGGCTCCCATCCTAAGGCTGGCAAAGTTCACCAACGCTGTGGATTTTGCAAAACTCAGTTCCCCTATCTTAGGTTATCGACGTGTGCGGCCACCCTTAAATCCCCCGGACTTCCGGTGGCTGCTCCCTTGGCTTTGTTCCCCCAGATGCATTGAATTCAGTTTCAATTGCTGATCCCCCTTCACTATGTCTCTCCCACTTCCCAATGACATTCTCCTCCAGGTCGGGGAGTATGTGGAAGACTATCGGGACCGCTACAACCTTCTCTTTGTTTGCCGTCATTTTCACGACCTGTTCCTGCGCTTGGTCTACCAAGCAGCAGCCTTGAAGGACTGCTCCCAGACCCGTTCCTTCTTGGGAGCTCTGCTCCGTCGTCCCGAGCTGGCTCGGGCGGTTCGCACCTTGGACTTCCATGACTGGTGTCCTAGATCCACTTCCACTCCTTCCTCCCCCCTCTCCGACGAAGACCTGGCGCCATTTGCCCAATTGGCCCACGCCCTCAGTCAAACCGCTGAAGAACACACGAAATGGGAGCAGGATCTCCGGGATAATGTTGAAGAGGCCTGGATTGCGCTTCTCCTGCCGCTGGCGAGCAACCTGAGGCATTTGCAATTGGTATACCCCAAGCAGAATGTCTACCTGGACCGCATGATGCAGCGGGCAGTGAGGGGAGAGAAGCCCTTTGACGACCAGCCGGCATTCCGTGTATTGCGCGATGTGTCGCTGAGCCATTTAGCTGACGAGGAAGACAGCCGAGGAAGCTACTTGCCTTCTCAGGTCCTTCCTTTCTTTCAATTGCCATCCATGCGGGCATTCTCGGCAGACTCGGTGGTTGAGTCTACCCGCCCACGCGACGATGAGCCTGAACCAACCGGACCTGCTGAGGAACCGACGGCCGGCTCTTCCTCCATTGCTGAGATTACACTGAATACGAGCAGCGGATCACAGGGCATGCAGAGCCTGATCGCCTCATGCTCCTCGCTTCAATCGTTCAAGTACCAGCATTCCGATTCACACCTGCTCGCAGAGGGGTTCCAGCCTTCTGCTTTCTTCGAGTCCCTTGCGAGCAGTAAGAGCAGCCTGCACACCCTGTGGCTGGACAATTGCGGCACCCACTTGCCTTTCACCATTGCTGGAGCGAACGAAACGCATGACGAGTGGTTCGGGCCTCTGACAGAGTTCACTGCGTTGAAGGATATCCGCATCCGTCTGCCCAACCTGCTCGATGTTCGCTACCAGTATGAACCGTCGTGCCCACTCACTGATGTGCTTCCGGCGTCGGTCGAATCGTTGTATGTGGAAGGCTGCAAGGAGAACTCTTTGGCTATGCTGGTTGGACAGCTGCAAAAGGTCCTTAACAAGCGCAAGACGCAATTCAAGGGTTTGCGACGACTCGATGTTGAAGGTTTCTTTCATGACGAGGAGGACGAGGACGCATCGGGCTACCAGCCGGCGGAGGCCGCCGGCGAGAAAGTGATCAAACCCCGGGTGTATCAGACGGTAGAGCCGCTGCACCATGCCTGTGCCGAGGCTGGGATTGAACTCTATGTGCGCGACCGCGTGTGCTTGGCGACGATGCAAGAAGCATAACATCATTTGATACGACCCGAGACGAGGATAGAGGATAGACGATAGATGATAGACTTACGTTGCGCACAATACCCATAGACAACTGCTTTCGGTCTCTTGATTTGGAATAATGCGTTGATTAGCTAGATTTTTACATGATTTGGAATTATTGCGAATTGAATGATTGCATTGAATCGATTACTTTTGGCTTGACAAATACCTTACTCAGCAGTAGGACTAGAGCTTCGACATCCACAGACCTTGAGGCCGAATTGGTTGGGAGGGTTACATCGTTCTGACACTGTAGGGCTCTACATGATAGGTTCTGAACATCCCCGAAAACTCTACAAGTCATCTGTAGTCGCTCGTCCGCCGTAATCCGCGATATGCTTGGATAGAGGCACTGGATACCTTCGGCTTTCCCCGAATAGTTCGATCCTGAATGTAACCCCCGCATTTCCACCCCCAGAATTCCAGATGGCATCCTAGGATGACGTGAGATGACACTCCAATCGGATGTATTCACCAGGTGAAAATCCTGGCTGAGCTAAGTGGATAAGCTCTCCCCATAATAGGAGCCCTGGGACCTTACCAGCAGGGCCCTGTGTTTGTCTGCAGAGTTTGTCTTGTTGGCTTCTGTCTCCTTTCTGTCAGTCATCTTCAGTTCTGTGTTGTTCTGTTGTTTTCACCTCCCCTCATCATCACTACTATCGTTTGTCTGGTTGTGACTGATCTCCTTTTCGCTGGTTCATTTGCTTGTCCGTGACGGTGATCACTGCATCTCACCTGCGATCGCTACCATGTCGCCGCCTAGTGCGATCAATAACCCTGGAGACCCGCTCGCCGAGCAAGAGAAACCCGTCGGTGCCAGAAACACCACTGGGACTGAGGATCCTTTCAGCCACGATGGTGTCGGCGGGGTGAAGTACCGCACTTTGGCCTGGTGGTAAGCGTTCATCCCTTCATCTAGATCCGCTCTTACAGTCCGGACCTAGCTAACTGTTCAGGCAATGTGCAATGAGTATGAGATACCAGTATCCCCAACAGATCACCTCTAACCACCTGTACAGTCATGGTCGCAGAGACAATCTCCCTGGGCATCCTGTCCCTCCCCTCGGCCGTGGCGTCGCTTGGCCTGGTTGCGTGAGTTATGATTGGTATCACCAACTAAGGGTGGCTTGGTGGCTAACTTAAGCCTTGCATAGAGCCGTGATCCTCATCCTTGGCCTCGGTGCTTTGGCAACTTACACGGGCTATACCCTCGGACAGTTCAAACTCCGCTACCCGCATGTGCACAGCATGGGTGATGCCGGTGAGGTCCTGATGGGTCGCATCGGTCGCGAAGTGCTGGGAACTGCGCAGCTGCTGTTTCTGATCTTTATCATGGGCAGTCATCTTCTGACGTTCACTGTGATGATGAATACCTTAACTGATCATGGCACCTGTTCTATTGTCTTTGGCGTCATCGGCTTGGCGGTGTCGTTCGCCTTCACCTTGCCGCGGACGCTGAAGAAGGTGTCTTGGTTTTCGATTTCATGTAGGTTCATTTATGTAGTTTTTGTCAATGCAGCAAGCTGACCATGACAGCTTTCATCAGCATTATTGCCGCAGTACTGATCACCATGATTGCAATCGCAATTCAGAAGCCAGGTGGCGGCCGTGTTGATGCCATCGTTGACAACTCATTTTACAAAGCTTTCCTGGCTGTCACCAATATTGTCTTCGCATACGGTATATGATAAAACTTTTTGAGGCAGAGGGACAAAGCTAACCAGCACAGCCGGGCACGTGGCCTTCTTCGGATTCATCTCAGAAATGCGTACGCCGACCGACTACCCCAAGACATTGTACATGCTGCAGGGGATCGATACGTCGATGTACACCATCTCGGCGGTCGTTATCTACCGCTATGGCGGGAGGGACGTGGCATCACCGGCATTGGGATCGACCAGTCCACTGATGTCCAAGATTGCCTACGGCATTGCTATTCCGACAGTAAGCCTAGCCTTCGAATATAGTTGCATGCAACGCTGATAAGGAACATAGATTGTGATCGCTGGCGTGATCAATGGTCATGTGGCATGCAAATACATCTACGTCCGTTTGTTCCGGGGAACCGACCGCATGCACCAGCGCGGACTTGTTTCGATTGGAACGTGGGTTATGATTGGGTTGGTGCTATGGACTCTTGCGTGGATTATTGCTGAGGCGATCCCGGTGTTCAACGATCTGCTGAGTTTGATCGTAGGTTCTCTTATCGCGTGTGTGTTTGAACAAGGCTAACTGTCGCAGACGGCGCTCTTTGCCAGTTGGTTCACATGTGAGTCCTACCGAGTCTAGAATCATCACTATACTAACCCATGGTATAGATGGACTAAGTGGAATATTCTGGCTGTTCCTGAACTGGGGCCGATATTCCTCGTCGCGCCGCAAGATCCTGTTGACCGGTCTCAACCTGCTGGTAGTAGTCGTAGGTGGCTGTCTAGTAAGCATACAACCGATCCCCATCACAATAACATCACCTGTATACTAATCAAACAGTGCGCCCTTGGCCTCTACGTATCAGGAAAATCAATCCACGACCATCCCCGCAGCAGCAGCTTCTCATGTGCCAACAATGCTTGAACCAGCCGGGATCGGATATCTGGAGCCGAGAGCCGAGAGTCGGGTTAGGGAATAGAGGTCGCCAGGCACCGACAGATAGGGTGATGTCAGTCCAAGCAGAGATGTCCTTATGTACATTAAACAAGCAGGCCTTGTTCATGACCTGTTCATGGGTGAAAGAAGTAGTGAGCCAATAGCTAGCGTCGATATGGCAGCTTGCCACCAGCGTGGATGACGTCGCCGGATCCGTCGGATACGCCGTCTACTTTGACATCATCCCACCAGATACATTAGGATAATGAACAATAAATACAGTAGTCAACGCTCACACAATATGCACTGTAGGAATTATCAAATCGAGCTCATAGTAGCTGTCAATCCATCATGGAAGACACACGCACGCAAACTGCCTCCCCGGCAGAAGAATCCCGTCGCAGCCATCACTCCAGCAGCACCCTTCCGAACGAGCGCGATGACCAAGACATAGAGAAACAGCGTCTTCACGGTGGCATGGCCGAAGGCACAAAGGACAAAGAACCCGACCCCAATATCGTGGACTGGGATGGCCCCGATGACCCAGTATGTCTCCTCCCCGATGCCATCTATACCCCCAAACTCAAAGCTTAAACCACCGCCACCACCGAACCCTAACCACTCACAAAACTATGAACAATAGGAAAACCCTCAGAACTTCCCCCGCCCCCGCAAATGGCTCATAACCATAATTCTCGGGCTCATGACCGTCTCGGTAACCTTCGCCTCGTCCGTCTTCAGCACCGCGTCCACTGTGACCGCGCAACAATTCCACGTCTCCGACGAGGTAATGGTCCTCGGCACCAGCCTCTTCGTGCTCGGATACAGTTTCGGCCCGCTCTTCTTCGGCCCTCTCTCCGAACTCTACGGCCGCAAAACCCCCCTGTTCATGGGGTTTTTCATCTTCGCCATATTCCAGATCCCTGTTGCTGTCGCCCAGAATCTCCAGACGATTATGATATGTCGGTTCCTGGGCGGGTTGTTCGCCAGCGCGCCACTGGCTATTGTCGGCGGTATGCTGGCGGATTTATTCGGTCCTGTGGAACGGGGAATTGCGATCGCGGTGTTCGCGGGCGCTACGTTCGTGGGACCAGTCGCGGGCCCGATTGTCGGTGGGTTCATCACGATGAGTTACCTTGGGTGGCGGTGGACGGAGTACATCACTGCCATTATGGCATTTTTCTTCGGGGCTGTGGGGTTCCTGATTGTGCCGGAGACGTTTGGGCCGACGTTACTGGAAAGGAGAGCGAGGAGGAAGAGGTTCGAGACGAGGAATTGGGCACTGCATGCTAGGTCGGAGGAGATGCCTGTTGATCTGAAGCATATTGCGACTGTTTATCTGATCAGGCCGTTTTTGATGCTCGTCCGGGAACCGATATTGTTACTCATCACGCTGTACATGGGGTTTATTTATGGGTTCTTGTATCTTTGCTTTGAGGCGTATCCGGTTGCGTTTCAGGAGTTGAGAGGGTGGAATGAGGGGGTGGGCGCATTGCCGTTTATTGCGATTGCCGTTGGGGTGGTGTTTGGGTGCTGTGTTATTGTGTTCTTTACAAAGACGAGGTTTCAGAAGGTGTTGGAGAGGGAGGGTCATGTTGTTCCTGAGGAGAGGCTCATTCCCATGATGATTGGAGGGGTGTTGTTGCCTGCGGGCATGTTTTGGTTTGGGTGGACGAGCAACCCGCACATTATTTGGGTACCGCAGGCCATTTCCGGGGGGTTGTTGGGGGCTGGGATTTTGTTGATTTTTATGCAGGTATGGTTACTTCTTTTCTATGTTTGTTGTTGGTGTGTGTGTGGTGCTAATGATATGGGTATAGGGGTTGAACTATATCATCGACTGCTACAACATCAACGCCAACTCGGCTATTGCAGCCAATTGCTTCTTTCGGTCAGGGCTGGGGGCGGGGTTTCCGATGTTTGCTATTCCCATGGTGAGTTTTCACTCTTGTCTGCAGCTTTACTGGCTGCTTTGGTGAAATAAACATACTGATTGACGATGCAGTTCCATAATCTGGGCGTGCCGTGGGCCATGACGCTGCTGGGATGTCTGACAGCCATATTGTTCCCCGTGCCGATTCTATTCTATATCTTTGGGAGTAGAATTCGGTCGTGGAGTAAGTTTGCGCCGACTGATTGATACCTTGAATGTGCTTTGTGGTGAGATATCTGTAATGTGTTTAGTTGGTATGATATAGTCTTTATATGCTATAATACAGACTTGATTTTCTACACTCAGCGTGACTTTTCCTATTTAAATGAGGCCGCTTCAATAACGGGTACTCAGAGGTAGTTCACTGAGTATCCCTTACCATCAGTCAAGTTTCGGTTGGTACTCAGGTTCTACTCGGAACGGCATCAGGCATAAAATACATACATCCTGATCTGCTCATACGTCAATACATTATATCGTTAGCTTGATAATGCTGAATTGACCAACTCTACAATATACATTTCCTCTAATAAACATGTCTTATTTGACGCAGCAATAACTGTGACAGAGTCTTGAAAGAAATTTACATAGAAAGATTTACTAGACATGATTACTGCTATCTATAATAGCATCGAGAAATCCGATTGGAGCGATAAAAGGGCGTTGGAGTCATAAATAATGGACACTGATATAGACGCCAAAATTTCACGGATGGTTATATTCACATTAGCGACTATCTTGTGTACCGCAGCTTGCAGAGCTACAGCAAAGGCTTTCCCAAACCCTAGGATATCATTTCAAAGAGACCTGTACCGCGCTGCTGCTAACTCACCAAAAATTCGCCTATCCAAACCCAAACGAAAGTACCTTGTTCACTTTTCCGTTGTATAGGACAACAACAAGAGGTTCGATATTGTCTGAGACAATCATAGCAGACAGCTGTAACTCTAATATTCAGGAACCAAGCAAGATTAACATTGATGTTGGTGCCAACGATGCATGTACAGAGACCACGGCTATCTAATCCTGATATACCTCCTGGGTCCCAGCATCCTGGCTCGCATTTCCACTCCCAGCCGCCTGTACATCCGCAGCACCTTCCTTCCTCGAAAACTTCAGGTCAGAAAGCCCATAAAGCACAATCCCCCCCATCCCCAGAATTGCGCTGATGACCGTAAACACCATCGAGACGATACCTCTCGCCGTGAACCCGTCGGGAATCCAACCGGGCTGTTTATTCTGCCCCTTCAGATCAAGATAGTCCTCTACATTCCCCGCCGCATTCCCCTCCCACGGGACGCCAGCTGCCTCGCACGCGGCCTTGTGGTCGGCAGGAATACTTAGCCGGTTTTGGATGAGCAAGGGCGCCTCGACGAATGTCATGGCGAGCCCCTGCATCAAGTGCCAGTCAATGTGGCAGTGGAAGAGCCAGACGCCCGGGTTATCCGCGCGAAAGCGCAGGACGACGTAGCCCATTGGCGGGACGACGACGGTATCCCCGCGCGGCGGGTAGGTGGGAAAACTGGTGTGGTTGGCTGGGTCGAAGGCGATGGGGTCTGTGGCGTCGGCGAGGGACAGGAAGTCCGGACCCATGGCTGGGTAGCGGGCGACGACTTGGAAGACGTGCCCGTGCAGGTGGAAGGGGTGGGAGCCGGTGTCTTGGTTGTTAAGGATGATTTCGACAATGGCGTTGTGCGGGAGGACTTGCGTGTGGGTATAGTCGCCGTAAACAGTAGGGTCAGTAGCGAGGGTCCCCGCAGAGAGGACAGTGTAGAGAGTAGGCACTTTGGGCGCAGTATAGCTGATATTATTGAGGAAGGCGTAGCCCATGCCTGTATCAAGGTTTTCCATGATAACAGCGACGTTGACGGTTAGGTCAGGGGTTTCCAGGAGGGGGACGAGATCGTAGGGGACCAGGGTGCCGTCATCGAAGGGAACGAGGTCATCGGATTCGGCGACAGTGATGTTTGCCTGCGGGTAGGCGGCGGAGGAGTCATATTGGAGCCAGTTGGTGTTGTTGAGTTGGAGATCAGGGGTAATGGTGTCAAGGAGGGTGGAATCAACGACAGTAACAATAGGGTAGTTCTTGTCTGTTGTGGCCTTGGTAGTAAAGAGGACAGAGTACCGCTGAGCAACAGCGATATAGAGGATGTCTGCAGTGGTAGGCTCAGTGTAGACACCGTCAATTTCGACAATAGTGAGCGGGTGGTCTTCGATGTAGAAGTACTGGGCTGTGAAGGCAGCAATGTTGGCCAGGCGGAGGAGGTAGGTAGTATTAGGCTTGACAGCGATAGTGGTATTCATAGTATCATTGAAGAGCCATGAGTTGGGGATAGGCTCGGCGCCGGTGGGATTATACAGCGACATGAACTCGGGCTTAATGTCCATAGCCAGCTCATGGTACCAGTCACTGAGAGTCACGGTAAACTCCTCCTCGTACTCATTGGCAAACCAGGAGCTGTTATCATGGACAATAAGCGCCTGACGGTATCCATCAGGATAGCAGTAATCAGTATGGCAATGATACCAGTAAGTGCCATTCTGGTTGACAGTGAAATTATATGTAATACTCGAACCAGGAGGTACAGGACATTGCGTGACCATGGAAGGCCCATCCATCTCATTAGTTCCGTTCTGGTACATGCCGTGGAAGTGAATACTGGCACTCTTGTTTTCTAATCCATTGTACATGTTAACCACCAACTGATCACCCTTGTCAACCTCGATGATGGGCAGCGGCCATTGGCCGTTGATGCCGACTACCTGGCGGTCAGCCAATCCATCAGGATTCGCTGTGACCCAGGTGACATTGAAGTCGTAGACGACTTCTTTGGCAAAGACTGGCACGCTGGCCGCCAGCAGTAGGTAGCATAAGATAGACAGCATTATTGTGAGAGAAAGGGAGACGGGGAGGGTGAGAGAAAGAGAGGAGAGACGAAGGGCCATCCTCCGGAAGAGGGTGGTTTATACCGGCGACGAGGGCGCAGAGCGCGGGATTTTTCAGCCACTGGGCAAATGAGCCCGGGCATATCAGATGGTGCTTGACCCTGCTTATTGGCCCCCCAAAAGCAAATTTTCTAGCGTGGTGGGCCTCATATTCTTGTTTCATCAGATAAGATGCCCAAAAAGGCACTCAAGCCCGCTTAGCCGGTCTATTTAATCACCTCCCTCCCGAACCAGCTCCTCTGCAGCTCAACCAGCTTTCATACATTCTTTCCCTGTTCGCGCAAACATGGTCAACGTCTTCGCCGTCCAGGTCTTCTTCATCGTCTTCCGTGAGTGTCTCGAGGCAGTCATCATCGTCTCAGTGCTTCTCTCCTTCCTCAAGCAGAGTCTGGGCCAGCCACACCAGGATCAGTCCATCTACAAGCGGCTCGTCCGCCAGGTTTGGGCCGGCTCACTCATCGGCATTCTCTTTCGTCTGATCATCGGCGGTGCCTTTATCGGCGTTTTCTACGGCCTGGGCCATGACATCTGGTCCAATGCCGAACAGCTGTGGGAGGGTATCTTCTATCTGATCGCGACCGTGATCATCACGATCATGGGGCTAGCCCTGCTACGAATCAACAAGACCAAAGAGCAGTGGCGAGTCAAGATCGCCAAGGCCCTCGTCGACAAGAGCAAGAACCACAAAAAGTCCAAGTTGCTCGGCGACTGGGCTCGCCGCTACGCCATGTTTCTCCTCCCCTTCATCACCACCATGCGCGAGGGCGTCGAGGCCGTCGTCTTCGTTGGCGGCGTCTCGCTCGGCTACCCGGCCACTGCATTCCCCCTGCCCGTCTTCACGGGAATGCTGACGGGGGTGACGTGCGGCTACCTGATCTACCGCGGTGGCAATGCCATGTCCATCCAGCTCTTCCTCATCGCGTCCACCTGCGTGCTGTACCTGATCGCGGCAGGCATGTTCTCCAAGGGAATCTGGGATCTGCAGTACTACCAGTTCCAGATGGCGGTTGGCTCCGATATGGCAGAGGAGGGCAGTGGGCCGGGCTCCTACGACATCCGCGAGACTGTCTGGCACGTCAACTGCTGCAACGCCGAGACCGACAACGGCTGGGATGTGTTTAACGCGATCCTTGGCTGGGAAAATACCGGCACAAATGGCTCTATTATCTCGTACAATGTCTATTGGCTCTGCATCCTCCTCTGTGTTGCCTACATGCTCTGGGAGGAGCGTTCAGGCAAGCGGTCCCTGCGCGAACGGATCCTAATTGTGCTGGCGAAAATCCCGGGAATCAAGTGGTATGCAAAGCCGAAGCTGGACGTCATGCAGGAGAACTCGGAGGAGATCGTGCGCGCGGCCCAAAACGGGCTGTTTAACGAGGGACAGGTCGAGAAGCAGACGGTGCAAGTGGAGTTGAAGTGAACGTAGGGGGGTGGCAATTGAAAATGGGCCCATCCCATGGGCAGGCCGGGTAGATAATCATCACTCCAAGCGCTCTTGGTTAGGGTAGGCATGTTGAAATTTCATTTTCGGAAGCCATTACTGTAATACTTACATTTCACTCCAACAACTACTACAAATCTCTTACATCAGTAATAGAAGGGGCTAACCCTGACTTGTCATTGGCTAATGTAGAGTAGACACCAGCCTAACAGAGCTGGTGAATTTATGAAGAAACTAGCGTGTTTGATAACTTACACAATATCAACCCGTTACATGAAATTTGACAAATATGTATTACATGAAATTGAAATTACACTCCGCCAACCCTACTCTTGGCTCAGAACCGAGCCTCCACAAAGGCCCACTTTGTCTGTCCAGGCACTCTTGTATCGTGGATGGATTTTGTCATCATTTTCTGCTGGCTCCGGACCCTGAATGATTTCGGACACCGGTCGGGCTTTACACGCGTAGTACCGTTTATCTCGGGCGTTACAGCGGACTTCGGTACCTGATAAGAGATCCTTAATCTGATCTTCGGCGATAGATTCCTAGCGCAGTCGGGCTTCGGCCGTCGGAAGTTCGGGGCCCCATTATTAGGGCAAAGCTTCACTGATTGATATGATTGATTTCTGGTATCAATCTAATCTGACTATCTGATTTAGGCAGCACCTCCGTGCTCCCTCTTGGGACAGAATCGGAGGGGCACACGACACTGGCATATGCATGGCACAGCGTGCTGCCATGGCCTCGCTGTCTTGCTCTCGCCGGGAATCGGGCGTGGGTGGCCAAGGATCTTGACCCAAGCACGGAAACGGGGCTATTAAGGCAGCTTTACCGGCTTACGTCTGTCTCCGTTTCATTGCATACTGTGAACCAACTTGCTGAGAGCAATGGATCCCACTGTGGCCTGGCCTCGCGTATGCATCATATTTTTCTTGCTCCTCATCGGCGTAGAATGATGATAATGCTCTGTTATGTTCGTAGCTCTCAGTCTGCAACGACTCTTGTCGCCCAGGACCACAGGTACTCCACGATCAAGCAATATCTGGAGGAAGGAATACGTTATCCACTCGGCCAGCACCAATACCCACCTTCCTGCAAAGGCTCGGTAAATCTCCCTCTTTCGCCCCGAGAGCAGCACAGAATTTTACACAATGACATCTGGGCCCACAACATCTGATACGCATGCTGGTGCCAACAGAAATGATGGCCAAGCCATTTTCAAGCTGCTACTTAAGAAATAATAGTCTTTTCCCTCCCGCTTTAGCATCTCCCATCAGCGACTGTGGCCCTGTAGAAGACAAAGACTTGCGCGATGAAATCTTCCTGGGCAATTTTGGCCCTCGCCTTTGGCTCGCACGTTGTGGCCAAAGGCTTTTCACCAACCGATGCTGCTGAATATTGCATGTATGCTATCTACGAGTCGTTATCTGAACTTAGCTGGCAGGAATCTGCGAATGAAACCAGCTCAGAAGGCTCGAACTCAGCCTCTCCGTGTTCCAACGAAATCGAGGTTACCTCTATCTATGCCTCTGTTGTGGAATACTGCCATGGAGCATCATACAGTCAAGGCCTTGTCTTTTGGGATAAGCTTTGTGCTAATCTTGGGACTTCGCTGACGGGCTTGGATGACCTCGAAGCCAGCGTTACTACAGCCTACATTGAACAATTGCCCGCTATCAGCCCAGACACCGCGGGAAAGACTGAGATTTCGACTCCGGTGCTGCTTGAGAAGTCGTACTATTCGCGCGCTGTGCGCAGTGTGGTAAGTGTCGAGCCCCATGATATCTTCTGAACGTCAATCTCACCGCATAGACTGCCAACGAGACTAGAGATACCAGCTCAATCAACATTGCTTGGGGCATTCATGGCTTCTGGGGCTTTATCGTCCTTATGGGGATTGTTCAAAACGTCTTCTCTACCCTCTCCCGTCGTTGTGCCGGTGTCCAGGCCGGAGACATCGAGAAGCCTCAATCACGCCGCTGGCGAGAAATCATCCCAGCGCCCGTTCGATGGGCTCATGACACTGTCTATACGTATCTGATACTCTCTCCCGCTCTGGGATACAACCACCGACGCCTTCTGGGCTTCAACGTACCCTTACGGGCCCAGGGTCTGACCATCTTCTTCTTCTGGTCGCTGGCCGTTATCTTGGCTTACATACACGGTGGTGTCTATCGAGACGATCCTTTGTAAGTCTCATACCTTCATCGAGTCTTCTGAAAGGAGTATTTAACACTGTCAGCAACGGGACCTTCGCGTACCAGATCTGGGTGTTCATGGGGCCCAGACTCGGTTTTCTCGCCTTCGCATGTCTCCCCTGGCTGTGGCTCTTTGCCGGACGAAACAACATTTTCATCTGGGGAACTGGCTGGGACTATCAGACCTTCAACCTCTTCCACCGGCATCTCGCGAGAGTCACTGTGATTTATGCAATTCTGCACTCTATCTCGTACACCGTCAAATATCTGGCCTACTGTATGTGCTTTACACACCAAGCCCGACGGCCATGCCATGCCATGTTGACTAACAGCCCCAGCCCCGAGCAAGTACTACAAGGACCTCGAAACAAACTGGTTCCGCTTCGGCATTGTGGTACGTTCACCCCCTCACACGCATCATACCACATCATAAACGACAATATCATAACTAACCCCGACTCAAGGCCACAATCCTCATGTCTCTCCTCATTCCCTTCTCCTCGGCCACCCTCCGCAAGCGCTACTACGAGGTCTTCCTAATAATCCACATCCTCTCCGCCATAGTCATCGTCTGTGCCTTATTCATGTGTGTCTACTCTTTCCTCCAACCCCTCCCCCCACCCCTCCGAACACCCACTAACAACATCTAACCCTACAGCCACATTTCCAAGTTTGGCACAGAATACACCCCGCACCTCTGGCCGGTAGTCGCAATCTGGTCCTTCGACCGCCTCGCCCGCCTCCTCCGACTAGTCGTTACAAACATCCACGTGCGAAGCCGTAGAGTGTCTCGCACGGCAAGAAGCACCGTCGGCTACAGTGACAAGAGCGACGTTCTCCGCATTGAGATCCAACCCGCCGCGGTCCCGCGGACTCCACGGGCGGGCGACGTGTATTACCTGTACCAGCCGCGAAGTTGGCGCGGGTGGGAGAATCATCCATTTACCCTGGCTTCGTGGGCATATGCCGGGGATGGCGTGAAAACACCGGCTATGGAGGGGTCCGTGGCCATGCCTATGACAGGTGAGAAGGGGGAGAAGGGGCCACAGGTGAAGACGTTTCCGGCTCCGGCTCCGGCCCAGCTTGTGGCGACAGGCGGTCAGATTCAAGTCCAGCCCTACCAAGACGAGGTTGTCTCGACATCGGCACTATCACCGCCGACATTGACCTTCTACGTCGCCCCTATGAGGGCTGGACGAAGCGGTTGAAGGAGCAATGCCTGCGGTCGGGGTATACCTGTCACCCGACTCTCCATATCGAGGGGCCGTACGGACACCGGGTCTCGCTGGGCGAATTCGAGCACGTCGTCATGATCACGGGTGGGACGGGGATCAGTGTTGCGACGGCGTATCTGCAGGATCTACTCGGCGGATCTCGAGGAGACGGGGAGGGCGGGGATGGCTACGGCCGAAGCCAGCAGATCGATCTGCATTGGACAGTACGGGAGGCAGCGTTGTTTGGCGAGCTGTGTCAAAGGGAGCTTGCTGCGCCCGAGGGGAATTCGATGGTGCAGATGCGGTTCTATTGTTCGAGGGAACAGGGACTTGAGGGTGTAGATCGGGAGGCCCTGGGCGGGCGGGTCGTTGAGAAGGGGAGGGCTCCGACTCAAGACATTATCTCCAAGGCGGCTGCAGAGGCAAGAGTCAGCTGTGCTAGAGTGGCTGTCCTTGTTTGTGGGCCTGTAGGGATGGCGGACGAGGCGAGGAAGGCCGTTTGTGAAGCGAGGAAAGAGTATGCTGGGGTGGAGTATTTTGAGGAGGTCTATGGGTGGTAGGGGCCGTTTACGCAATGTGAAATGAAAAGAACAAAGTGAAGATCTGGACTGAAACAGGTACCTGAAGCTGGCCAGCGAAGTAGAGCCCTGTTCAAAGTATATACGGAGTGATTTAGTGGGGTTAGTAGACCATGTTTGGATTACCAGCTCATCATAGATACTGCCGATGCTCTCTTTCAACTGACTGACTTCGCTCGCGCTCAGCGGCAGCGTGCTCGTCTGCTGGGAAATCTCCGTAAAAATCCCCTCCGTTACATGCCGATTACCCTGGTAGTACCCCCTGCACCCAGAATTCCAGTTGCAGCGTAGATTGATGTACCCCTCTTCTGGTAGATGAGGTAGGCCATTGCCTCGTTGCCCCCGTGGAGCGGGGGTTATGAGCTGCCCTGGTTCGGCGGTGACCTCACGGGATAGGTTGATGATGTTAAGGGCTCGGTCCCAGCTAGAATGTGTGTTATTTAGTGCTTGAGAAGACAAAGCAAATAGGGAGAGAAGCGACTCGAATAGCTCTTCCTTGACCCATTCTGTGTGCTCTTCTTGCAGTTTCGTCATTACGACGACCTTGTCGCCTATGCCCACGGGCCGGCGCGGCTTCAAGTCTGGACCATCTCGTCTCCATGGTGTTTGGAGGATGGAGATACTGTTTGGCGCAGTATTGCTCGCTGAGGCCCTGGAGATGGGCATGGAGTACGAGATAGGGGAAGAAGAGGGCCAGAACACAGCAGAGGAGCAGCCCTGAGGGCGGCTCCACGCCGGTTTTCGTGCCGTCTTAAATTCTGTAAGGAGGTGGACTGATGATGGAGGCACCGTGAGAAGATTGTAGGAAAGTAATAGCTGTAAGTTATCATGATGGATGATGGCATACACAGTTTCCCTGCTCGTACTCACATCGGGGTTGCATGATATATGTCTACTCTCATTGGCTCCACCACCAAAGGATAGTCGGAAGCTTGGTACTTACCAAGCTCATTGACCCAGCATATGTAAATTGCAAGCCCTACAGGGCTCCACCTGCGACGCTGTAGGCATTCGGCAGTAGAGTCGGGAGATGTAAATTCAACTTAAAAATTCGTGTAACTGATCTTTGGCCTTGTAAGACATAAAACACGCTGGTCTGTAAATTAGAGTACTAACTCTATCAGGCGCTATATCAGCATATTTTAGCCAATTAAAGTTTTAAAATGGAATCTTAAATTACTTACGTAATGTAATAAAATCATCCGTGTTTTTTTCCAGTGAAATTTCAACATCCCCAGGTAGTGAAACCGGGTAAAGGAAAGAAAAGAAAAAAAAATAGTCTCTTTCTACTGGTCAGGCCAGCCAAGCAGCGGAGCTTCCAGTTTTCTAGGTTTCCCTCGCTGGCCGTTTTAACTCCCTCCTGCCCGCCCCCTCCATCACCCCTTTTGGCCGGAATTTCGGCTGTCCGAATCACCTTCTTCTTGGCCTCTCCGCTTTACATGATTTGACCGGAAATGGCATCCCAGATAGTGCCTGAGCGGCCTGCGGTATGTAATATGTCGTCTACGATATGATTTGGGGCTAATCATGTGTGCTGCCGCCGTCCAGTGCGACCTCTGCCACAACAGAAAGGTTAGTCATCGGCCCATCCATCAACTGCCACAGAATGCTAAGGCAGGACAGGTGAAATGTGACCGCTACGACCCGTGCATGAACTGCGTTGATGCGCGCACAGAATGTCGTCGCACACGGCCCCGACGCAGTATGCGTCCTAGGGTTTCCCGGTAAGTCGGGGCGGTTCCTGCGCATCCTTCACTGCGCCTAATACGCCGTCCATCAGCATTGCAAGGCTGTCGGAGAGGCTCTCGTCGGTTGAGCAGTTGGTTCTCAATCCTCACCCCGGTGCTCCCGCTTCGCAGCCTGTCCTTGATCCGCGAGAGGAAGCAGAGCACATTGCTCGAAGCGGTCGAACCTCGCAAGCACCCAGCTCGGAGGGTTGGAGCGCGCGAGCCAGAGAGAGCGAGAGCACCGCTCACCCGGCAGCCACCGCAGAAGACACATCGATGCAGCCAGCGAACGAAGCCCGGCGCTTCATTCAGCAAGAGCTGCAGCGCAGCGACCATCTATCTTCGCTCCAGCGCGCCGTGTTGGAAAATGCACTGTCGCTGGTTAACAGGCTCTCAACCGCGACATGTGATTCGAAAGTCTCGTCTGCGGGACACGCGCAGGCCTTAGAGGAACAAGATGAGACAACACAGGAATTCTCAATAGAGACATACTACATGATGTCGAAGCGTTCGTGTTAACATGACCTTTTGTCTGGACCGCTCCTAACCTGAAGCAGATATGGTACATCAGACTTCGCCGGGGAAGCACATACACTGGCCCGACCACGTCTCGGTCAAGGGGCTGGAGCACATGAGCCTGTCCCTGGTTGAGGGAAAGCTGGATAGGCAGACCTCTTTGCACTACCGCGTGTGTGTATACGTCAAAGCTATCTTTTTCCTGGCGCGGATCCGACAGCCACAACTGACGCCGCGGTTGCGCTCGCATATGAAAATGAGCCATGCAAAATACATGACGGCGGCATCCAGGGCGCTGGAGCAGATTAATTTGACTGGGAATCCCTCCATTTCTCTCATACAGGCTCTACTGTCCGGAGTAAGTGCTGCCCTACATGCATTTTTATTTTTTTTTATTATTTTATTTTTTTTTCTCAGAAAGAATTCGGACAACATCTGACCAAAGCAAAGGCACTCCTCCATCAGATGCAAGGAAATATCACGAAAGCGTGGACGATGACATCCTTCGCCGCGCGGCTGCTCGTTGCCCTGAACTACCACACCGTCAGCAGCGACACGCCGATTCAGAGCCAGGAGGACGAAGACGCCCGCCGCTGTTTGTTTTCCTGCCACTACCTCGATAAGTCGCTTAGCATGCATCTTCTGCGGCCACCGTCGCTTCCACGGTTGAGATTCAGCCCCGCGTCGCTAAGAGCTACCAATGGCCAGGCGGGGCTGGCGATGATTGCCAAAACAATGTCTGAGTTTGCAGAAGTCCAGGAGGCTGCACTTGAGGTCTTTTTTGCCCAATCAATAGCAGACGATGATGGTGAGGAGAGGGCGGCCAGGCTGGACGCGGCAATTCAGCAGTTGGTTGCGCTGAAGCGGGTGCTTGACGAGGTAAGCGGCACAACTACCTGAGTGAAGATGTGAGGTATTGACCCTGTAGCGCCGTCTAAACGGCAGTCAGCAGGAATTGGAGCTGGAATGGGATGTCACCGAGTTCCGGTACCACGCGATTATGACCACACTCCTGCAGTACCGCTCCGAGTGGGAGCAGGACAAGCCTGGGAAGAAGGATAAGTGTTTGCAATCTGCGCGACAGGCTCTGGAAGCGCTGCGCCAACTGCAGAAGACCATCAACGCAAGCGACGTATTCAACGGCAGCTATCCGATTTTTCTCTCCTGGTAAGCACGGCCCATCCTATTTTCTCACAGGGACTAAACATTCACCTACAGGACCATCTTGTTTTACCCTATGACCCCCTTTTACGTTATCTTCTGCAACGTGGTGGGCACATCCAACATGGAAGACTACCAGCTGCTGCGCGACACCACACAGGGACTGCAGCAGTTCATCGACTACAACCCGGCCATAGCCCGGCTATACCACCTCTTCACCACCTTCCTCAACTTGTGTAGTCCCCTGGTGAACCCCCCTGTAGTTCAAGAGGATGCAACAATGGTTTCTTCGCTGGAGCAGCCGATTTCCATGGATGTGCGGCCCGAGATGGGCCCGTGGTGGAACAGCGCAGACATGTGGGAGTTGTTCAACACGCAGCCCTCGCTACAATGGGTGGATGCAGACAACCTCATTCTCTAGTCACGAACCCCCAGGACCATGGTTTAGCTGCTGCCTGAGGAAGGGCTGCTAACCTATTAACTACCATATAGTTAGTAGAGGGTGACTTAGTCAGGTTAGCAGTGTTCTCATTAGCAATCCAACGGGCGCCTCTTAATGCTCCTCCGTACTCCGTAAACACTCATAGGATCGGTTTGCGGGACGGAATAGAGTCGCCAGCTCCACGTCCAGGGCTGTATCTTGAGTGTTCGTGATGCAATATATGCTTGTCTTGGACGCTTACTACTAGTTATGAATGGAGTATTGCATGTGACGGTAACAGCACCTACATGTATACCTTCAACGTCAAAAGGTTCGTGGGATCCCAAGTCTCCAGGGCCCCTACACGCGACTTGCAGAAGTGTCACACCGGAGCTTGAAAAATGATTCAGACACTTAGAAAAAAATCCTGATACTGATTAAATTTATATATATTTTTGAGACTAGCTCTGATACCAAATCAGCACTAGACGTGATTTAAAATAGCACAAATACCAATTTGAGAAAGAAAGAGAAAAATTCCTCACAATCTCTAATGCTCTAGATATTCCTAAAATATCCCAAGATACCCAGTTATTTAATAGGTAAGCCGATAGATACTCTTGACTTCAAATGCCACTAATACCGAATAGATTACTGCAATTGATACAAACTATAACCTAGAATTGAACAAATACACTCATACAACAAACAGTCCATCAAACACAACTTCAGCCTCCAGACACTCATTCAAGTTGACACAACAGAGAACTAGTCAACACAGTCCGCTATCACCTAACAATCGATGCTAACAGACCCAAACGGAATGCCAATACATCCCTGCACATTGCCCGCAAAGTTCGCCGAACTTCCTTCGCAGTTGTTGCCAGACCAGGTAGTAATCTTGCACTTGTTGTCGCCGGTATCGACGTTGAAAGACGCTCCAGGGAGACTCATAAAGCAGGAGTCTCCAGACCCAGAGATGGCAGGGTTGGCAGAAGAACCCTCGCAGTTGTTGCCGGACCAGGTAGTGATCTTGATGCTTTCGCTGCGGGATGAGAGAGGAGTGGCTTCAGCCGTGGTGGTGAGGGCCAGGACACCCATGGCGGCGAGAGGGAGGAACTGGTGGAGTTGCATTTTGCTTGAGGTTTGGTTTGAGGTCTCTTTAGAGATTGAGATGAAGATAGAGGTCTTGTAGTGATATGTAGATGATTGAGAGATGAGAAGCTGAGCTGGATGATTGTCGAGATTCAGAGCGAACAAGACGGATTTTATACCTCCTTCTTCAGCATTCCGCCCCATTCAGATACTTTTCTTTTTCCTACACTTCAGGGCAGTGCAAGGGCAAAAACACCCATCTATTCTCCAACGCAATCATCGTGAACCCATTGTGGTGGCTCATTTCACGCTTCAGTTGAATTCTTGGCCCCTTCTATGGGTGTATGTATTGTTCCATTCTGTATTCGGTATGCTATTCTGCATGAAGTGGAGTTTTGGCCCCAATTGGACGCCTGAGGGGATGGGATATTCGGGCCCTTGCAGATCGGATGGAAGGCCTGAAGCTTTGGCCCCATGGAGCTTACTTGCTGTTTACTGTGTGTTTTGGAGGCTTATGTATTGAGGATCGCATTCAGGGTTAGATTGGGGTGTAATATGCTCTGTTATTATGTGCTTCTCATTTCCACATTATGTTGTTGGTTTGGTTTGACTGCTGTGTTGGCTGAGTGCGCATTAGTCTATGAAGAGATTGCCAAGGAGAGATACCTTTCATTCAGGGGTGGTAATATCTCAATTGCATGTTATGCTAGTATATATGCAAGCTTGATGATATAAGTCTGCTAGATAGTCGACAACCATGATCAGGAGCAGAGCTAAGCAAGCTAAGCACAGCACGAGAAAGTACAATTGTTGGAAGATGCTAGACGTAAGACCGCGCTAGTCCAAAGCGGGCATACAATTGCAACAGGTTCAAAAACTAGTGCGGCATGTCAGATCGGAGCTGGAAAAACAGTTCGGACTGATTCAGAAGAATCCGGATACTCAATGAGCTTATACACATCATCTTATACTTTTTTTGATAGGGGCCCCCAGTTGCAACGGGTTCAGAAATTAGTGCATCAGGTTCAGAGAAATTCTAACACCGGATGAGCTTCATCACGTGCAAATATACTCGGGATCAGACTGAGTTTTTCTGATTCTGTACCAGCTTTTCTGAACTAAATCAGCTATTATATCTTTATTTTTAGAATGTCTAAGAGTTTTTTAGAGATTACTATTAAGAGTATTTAAAGGTATCAGAGAGTTTTAGAGGTTTTATTAGATTCTTAGTTAAGAATTATAATCACGTGCAGAGCTGAACATAAGACAGAATATTAAATCACGTGTATGAGATTATTCAGTATCAGGATTTCTCTGACTCTGACTGAACTGTTTTTCCAGCTCTGTTCTGACACTGTCGTACTAAATTCTGACCTCGTCGCAACTGGGTGCTCTTTTTGATACTAGAACGGGTTTGCACGTGATTCCTAAGATTTCTTAGAAAGCAATCCTAAAACCCTCTGAAGACCTTAAATAGTAGATATAATAGCTGATTCTGGTTTATGAAAGCTGGTTCGGATTCAGAGAAATCTATCTTTCCACTCTTTTCACGTGATTAAAGTCATTCAGTATCAGGATTTCTCTGAACCCGCCTCACTAGTTCCTGAACCCGTCACAGCTTGAACCCCTCAAAAATGATGACCTGCATACACTGCTTGGTAAGCAACACCACGCCAAGCACAAACCAGCAGATCCATTTACGTGAAGGGTTACTATAACTCAACACAGAAAATAAGCACTAGTAACACCTAGAAACACCTCCCATCCACCAATAATTCTCACTGTCATGACACCATCTGACAAATGTCTGATTTATCAGCAATAGCTAGTTACCCTAGTTATAATCCCATCATGTATAGCTTCAACCAACACTCCATCACATAAATAGTACCCTTAGTATTCCCTCAACTCAATTCCAACCACTACACAACACTCAACCTCACCCACAACACACCAGAAATAAAACACCATCATGCCCCTAAATTACCTCCTAACCGGCAGCACGGGCGGCCTCGGCTCCCTCATCCTGGACTACTTCACCACGCACTTTCCCCCAACCCAAGAATCATCCACAACAAACAGCATCACCTACGCCGCCGCCTCCTCCAACCCATCCAACTCCCATCGCTTCACTTCAAAAGGCATCCCCTTCCGCACAGTCAACTACGACGACCCGGAGACGCTAGACGTTGCTTTCAAAGACGTAGAGAATCTTTTCTTCGTGAGCACGAATACATTCGACGTCGAGAAGCGCAGACGACAGCATTTGAATGTGGTTGAGGCGGCGAAGAGGAATGGTGTTAAGCATGTACGCTTACATTTCACTCCGTATAATATTTCCATATGAAAAAGATGCTAATGGTATGATAGGTATGGTACACCTCTCTCGCCTTCGGAGGCCTGGGATCGAATTCCAAGGCCGCGGTGCAGCAGGCGCATTATATGACGGAGGATATGTTGAGAGAGTACACCTCCCTCCCTTTCCTTTCCACCTCCTTGTTTTTTATCACCATTTACTGATTATATTTCAGGTCTGGAATTAATTACACCTCCATTCGCGAAGGAATCTACACTGAAGCATTCCCTCTCTTCTTGAACTGGTATCCCCAGTCAACGACTCTTTATCTGCCCTCCGCGTCAGGGAAGATCGCATTCACGCTCCGGTCTGAACTGGCGGAAGCAACGGCTAAGTTGATGTTGAAGGGCGGTCACGATAAGGAGATTGTGTTGTTGACTGCGTCGGAGCCTGTTTCTATGCAGGATATAGTTGAGGTTATCAATGAGACGACTCATCGGGAGGTCAAGATTGAGATCGTCGATCCGGAGACATATGTACGGGTCAACGGGGAGAATGATATCGGGGGCAAAGCGGAGGGATTCTTCCGGCAGTTGGTGGGGTGGTTTGAGAGTATTGAGAATGGGGAGGCCGGCTTTACGGATGGGTTGATGGGGGAGGTGTTGGGGAGGGAGCCGGTGACGCCGAGGGAGGCGATTAGGGGGTTATTGGAGAAGGAGAGGGATTATACGTGGCATCAGAATTATAGCAAGTAATCGGTCGTTTGTATTCTTGTTTTATATAATTACAGGTATATAGTTTAATGATGCAAACTTTTAAGATATGTGGAGATATTCTCTTCATCACACGCGGTTGTCCTCCTCCCGGTCGTGTTGCGGATACCCCGTGTGCGTGTCGCGATACACCGTCGCTTCTCCGTCACCTTCTTTCTCTAAAACCTCTTCCTCGTCTGCTCCCCAGGTTGATTCTCGCATGAATGGACTCCGTCGGCGGATCTCTGGCCCCTTCCATACTAGCACTACAGGCACAACTGACAGTGCCAGCCCGATGAACCCCAGCAATGACCCGGCCCAGCCATATCCCAGGTTCTGGAATAGTTGGTAACTTGCCAGCGGTAGGAACGCGCCAAAGGAGTTACGTCCCAGAGATGCTGCGGACAATGCCGATGCGGCATACTTCTCATACGCATCCGTCAAGTAATTCACAACAGCCATGTAGATACTGTAGATGCCAATACCGGTAGCCCCGATGCCGAGGGTCGGGACAATCCAAGGCACAGAAGGAAAACTGGCCCAACCATACCAGAACAGCCCGCCTGCGAACAGCAAGCTGCCAATGATACTAGTATACAGACGGGCCTCCGGGATGGGTTTCCCGGGCTTCTCTTTGTTGCGTTTCGCCGACCGCAAATACAGCATATCCTGAAGAGGATTGACGAGAGTACCGATTAGAGCACCCACGGAGATGGCCAATTGAATGCACCCAGTTTGCAAAGTATTCATGCCGTAGTTGGTGGAGAAGGTCTGAACGACACTGCTGAAGAAGAGATACAGGATACCCCAGGCGAAAGAGATCCAGAGGGTGAAGAAGGCAACGACGGGCTCGGTGAGGAGCATTCGTGTGGGCCGTTCGAAGGAGATCTGCATCAGACGCCAGACGCTGGTGTTGTCTAGCTCGGCTTCGGCGTAGATGGGGCGCTGCTTTTCTTTGCGGAGCTTCTTGGCCCGACGGGTGAGGATCACGTCCGCGCGGGTTTCGTACAGGATGAACCAGAAGATGGGTAGGAGCCCTGTTAGATAGATAATTTGGATGTAGAAGATCCAGCGCCACGGGGCGGTTTTGTGGATGGCTACGATGGCGGATCCGATGAATGGGCCCAGGGCAATTCCAACCACACTGGTAAAACCGAAGAGCGACATAGGGAGACTCCTCGCTTTGTCACCATACCAGACATCACTGATGCTACCGCCGACGATGTTGATCGATACGGAGGACGCACCACCACCGAAGAAACGCGTCACTACGAGAGTAGCGTAGTTTTGGGCGAAGGCGGAGGGGAATAGCGAGATGATGAGAATAATGTAGGCGACAAAGTAGCCGGGCATGCGACCGGAGGACTCGGTCAGAGGCACGAATATGAGAGGCCAGAACGCCGCACCCATGTTCCAAGATGTTGTGGCCCAGTAAAGGTTAGGAAATGGGGTGTTTTGAACGTGGAATCGTTCTTCCATCCAGTTGTTGCCGGAGCCGTAGGAACCGGCCGGGATACCAGTGAGGATGGAACTATACCTATTAGCACTGCCATCTTCGAGAACAAGGCTAAGACATACATGAAACAAACGGTGACCGTGAGAAGCCATTTATAAGAGGTGCTCCAATTGAACCTGAATATGTTAAAACTAGTATACTAGCAACTGCATGCTTGACGTACGGATTGTCCGGGTCATCCTTGCCGTTCCAGGTATGGATCTCAAGGTCCTCCCTGTCACGCAGATCATTGTGGCTGACTACCCCGACATGGGGGTCCCGGCGAAAGAACGACCGCACCCTGCAACGTCACTTAGTGGCTGTCTGACAGGGATTGATTGGCAATGATTGGCAGACTAACCGTCCCAGAAACGAATCATCGAACTCATTGGTGTGCACTGTGCTAGCGCGGCGCAGCGACGGGCGTGGCTCCTCGGCAGGGGTGGACATGACTTTCTCTGTGTAGATTCCTTGCAAGGTATCTGCTTGACAGATGCAGAGATGATGTTGAGTAAAATAGGGTGCAGAGACCCTGCAGAACCTGCATCGGCCGGCGGCGACATGTCGTCATGACCGACCCGGGCCGAGCGGAATTAATGAAACTCGGAACAGCCAGGGGAATCCGACGCTTTGAGTGGCCAATCCATGTCTATCCACATCTGCATTGAAGTGGATGAAAGGTGGAGGAGGGCTGGTTGCCAAATTCTGTTAGGGCTTGGAATGTAAGCAACCGGTTTCGGTCATGACATCATCACAGCGATGACTTCATCACTCTCGGACGAGCATATATAGTTGTGCCTGTCGTCGTATCTCAACAAACATCAACAACAACAACAATCATCTACTGCATTTACCAAACTCATCTCTACCTCAATCAACATGCCTATCTCCATTCCCTCCGCCTCCAGCGTCCACGACCTCTTCAGCCTGAAGGGCAAGGTCGTCGTTATCACCGGCGCTTCCGGCCCTCGCGGCATGGGCATTGAAGCCGCGCGTGGCTGCGCCGAAATGGGCGCCAACATCGCCCTCACCTACTCCTCTCGTCCTCAGGGTGGTGAGAAGAACGCCGAAGAACTTCGCAACACCTACGGCGTCAAGGCCAAGGCCTACCAGTGCAACGTGGGCGACTGGAACAGCGTCAAGAAGCTCGTGGACGACGTGCTGGCCGAGTTTGGCCAGATTGACGCCTTCATTGCCAACGCTGGCAAGACAGCCAGCAGTGGTATCCTGGATGGTTCCGTTGAGGACTGGGAAGAGGTCATCCAGACAGACCTGACGGGTACCTTCCACTGCGCCAAGGCGGTGGGCCCGCACTTCAAGCAGCGCGGAACGGGCAGCTTCATCATCACCTCCAGCATGTCGGGTCACATTGCCAACTTCCCGCAGGAGCAGACGTCGTACAACGTTGCCAAGGCAGGCTGCATCCATATGGCCCGGTCATTGGCCAACGAGTGGAGGGACTTTGCCCGCGTGAACAGCATCTCCCCGGGTTACATCGACACGGGGCTGTCGGACTTTGTGGATAAGAAGACTCAGGATCTGTGGATGTCGATGATCCCCATGGGACGCAACGGTGATGCCAAGGAGCTGAAGGGTGCATATGTCTATCTCGCCAGTGATGCCAGCACATACACGACGGGTGCCGATTTGGTCATTGACGGAGGATACACCGTGCGGTAAATTATCATCCGCGGTCGGATAGAAAATAATGTTTATGACATGTATGTAATGAATATGAATGTTCAACAATAGTCTTCAATTCTTCACTTGCTAGTATCCTGAGTATCTTGTCGTATAGCTCAACAACCTGGCATGGCCGGGCGCGCAGTGTAGCTCTCCCAAGTCTATGGATACAACTTGCGTCAGTGTGGATCTTTGGCTCAGATTCGGAGGGGCAGTGGGGTAAACAAGAACACGCAGCCACTCTCGGCTTTGCGGATCCCCACGGAACGCCAGTCAACCCTGAAGATTCAGTCCGGGCCTGGGCTCGGACTGATTTGGTGAGGGGATTCTGCATCCGTCCAAACCTTATCATCGTTGGTGAGACGGACTCCGGACAGCCAGGAGCCTTATTCAGTGGCTGCGTCTTTTGTTCTCTCCAGTGCATGCCAGATTATGTTCATTCCCATCTCACGCTGCCAGTTGGACAGCCAAGATAGATGGATCAGTGAGAAGTATGGTAATGAACTATGATGACATGTAAGAGTGGAGTGGACGTTGGCGAGGTTGAAATCTAAACCCGTAAGACCGAAACAAACCGAGCAACACCACATCCGGTCAGGTGACCTACCTATCCTAACAGTGAACATTGGCTGGAGAGAAATCAAGGGGTGCATACGAAACATGTCCGATTCGACTAACATCAAAAAGCTATGTAATCCGCAATTCAAGCATATCATAATCATCAATCATAACCCTCAACTCTTGCCCACCTTCGCATCGGCCACCTCCTCCGGATCATCCACCACCTCTGCCAGATGCATCCGCGGCAATGTCCTCGCCAGTCGCGGAGGGTCAAACACGCTCTTCGACTGCAGGAAGATTTCGTCGATCTCCTCCAGCGACCGACCATTCGTCTCCGGGAAGAAGAAGTACACGATCGGCACAATCACTGCGTTCAACACCGCGAAGATGATGTAATATTGGTATCCGATCGTATCAAAGCCCACCGGGGTCACTTCAGCGAGGAGGAAATTGAAGGTCCACACGGCCGCTGTTGATACGGCACTGATGGCCGCTCGAAGTTGCAGCGGTGCGACCTCCGTCGCGTACAGGAAGGTCAGACCCGAGTATCCGACGGTGAAGATGAATTCGAACACGAACAGGAACACCACCGCTACGACCAGCGCCGCGGTATCGTTGGATCGAGACGTTGTTCCCGCCAGGATGGCCATCGAGGCGGACATGCCCACAGCACTCCACAGCATCAGGACTCGCCGACCGAGCCGGTCAATCGTGAAGAAAGCGAGGAATCCACCCAGTGGCTGGGTGAGGCACATGGCGGCAGCCAGAATGCGTGATGGTATGGCATCCAGGCCCAAGTACTGTTGGAAAATGGTTGTGGCGTAAAAGGTGATGAGATTGATTCCGCACATTTGCTGGAACATCTGGCCTGCTGCAGCCAACACCGTCCGATGGAAGAGTCGCTGTTCGCCCATGCTCAGCATGTCCTTCCACGACCCCGATCCCGAGAGGGCTAGCGACCGCTCGATGTCGCGCACAGCCAGTGTGATGCTTTCGTCGTTCGGATCGAGGTCGGCCAGCGCAGCCAGGATCTCGCGGGCCTCCTCGGTCCGGTTTCGCTTTATCAGCCACCGGGGCGACTCTGGGAAAAATATGATGAAGGCCATCACCATGAGTGACAGGACGATCTGGAAGGCTAGCGGGAACCGCCACGACACGGAGTTACCCGTAACGAAGTAGAACCCGAAGTCAGTCCACAGCGAGATTGTGATTCCCGCCCCAATGAAGATACCGTCCGTCACTACATGGGCACCACGCTTGCCCGCCTGCGAGATCTCGGCCTGCCACACGGGCACAGTTGCAACATAGCCGCCCGTTCCCAGCCCCAGCACAACACGTGCCACGATGAATTGAGCCAGTCCGAAGGAAGTGGCCATCAGCAGGGCCCCAATTATCGAGATAGCTGAAGTGAGAAAGATCACCTTTCGCCGGCCGAGGAGATCACCGAGGTAGATGCATGACAGGGATCCGAATATGCCGCCGACGGTGTACAGTGCGACCACCGTACCTGTGGATGGTTAGACCGGGAGAGGGAGGGCAGTTGTGAGGGAGCGGGCGCCTTACCCTGGATGGTGGAGTTGTAGTGCTGCTGGGCCCCAGTGGTGGTCAAAGTGTTCATCTGGGGAAACGTCTCCGCAAACGACTCCAGCGTGAGGAGACCTCCCGTCACTCCCTGGTTGTATCCATAGCACACAAAGGCCGGGCAGACGACCAGCCAGATGATGGCGCGATTCAAAAGAGCGCCGCGTAGGCCGAAGTATGGTTGCATGGCTAAGACATGCAGTAGAAGATTCTATGCAACGATCGCGACATCAGCCAGGATGTCCCCGCATGTAGTGATCAAAAGGACTTGGCTCACGCCGTTGAACCCTGGTCTCCGGTGCGGACATTTTATAAAAAGCGTCCCAGCAATTTGCAGATGGGTCGGCCATCGGCGGCGCCCGTCTGTCGCGTGGACTTGGGGCATTCCGGACTAGAAGAGGATTCCTGTAACCGAAGCTGTGCCAAAGTCAAAGGATCGCGAGAGACAGGCATCGATCGCCAAGCTGGCAGGCGTCTTGTCCTTTTCCCCGCTGGAGAATTTGGGGATCGTCGTTGGACTTTTCTCCACCTGCCGGCTGCCTTTCCATCGGATCCGGCCGATGGGGGTTGTTGGACCTCGGGTCAACAGCCAGTCGGGAGTCCCTGGGCCGCCAAGCCCAACCCCAGAAGCCTCATTGAATTTGGTAATGGCCATTGTGGGAGATAAATAGATAAAGAGGGCTGGTCGATGCCCCATAATTGAGATAACAATGTTTCTGCAGTTGCGGTTGTCCGATATCGCAAGAAAGGTGCTGAGGGTGAAGCAGCTAGGAGTATCCCGATCATGTCTAATTAAGCGATGTAAGCAGAACGCAACTCATATCTCAATCGGTTACGGCGCAGCATCTTTGTCAATCATTCCAATTCCGTGACAGCGAAGCTTAGGCAATTGCAGCCCATGTCTGGCTTGGCCAACGCAATCTGCATTGAGATCTGCGAACGGCACGGATACAATAGCCTGTTCGAACAAGTTAGCTACTTTTCGACCACTGAGCGTCTGTACAGATGACTGACTGAACCGTCGTTCCCCTACCTCGGCTATTTTGTTGGATATCGCCAGGTTCCGACTAGCGTGCATGCCGCCAATCGCCAGGTCTTTCAGATGCCTGTGTCTTCTGGCACAAGAGACCAGGATGGGGGGTGCCGTAACTATAAAATACTGGGGGCTGTCTTTATCTCGAGCTTTATATGGTCGTTCCCGTATCAGTTTCAAGATATAGCTCAGGGCCATGATTGGTGCTCTGATAACGATTTTGCCTAACGGGATAAGGAATCCTCCGTTGTGTGCAAAGGGCGATACGAGATCGTCAACGGACGGCATGTGTGATAGCCATCGCGGAGAAAGTCAACTCCACACGATTGGCCACGGTTTCGTCATGACATAATTGGTATATCTGGCTGAAATGTCCTATGTGGCATATGAGGGGTTATAATACTTTGGGTCAAGTGACCAAAGTTGAGCCGCTGTCAATTTGCGAGGGTTGTACTGGCAAGTGTGATGCCAAGAGTGCGTTCCTGGATCAAAGGAAGTGGGGTAAACGGGGAAAGAAGATAGAGCGAAGAGGTAAATATAAATGGCGGAAGTCTCATTTATAGTAGTTGATCATGGGATTGCACGCGGCGGAGAGGATTGCGTCGCGGTCATTGCTTTGCAGCAGTTCATGTGCCCCGGAGGCTCGTTATCAGTGACGGAGCAATAAGGCACCAGTCCTGATATGGTAGTCATCTGCCAAAGGTGAGGCATTGACAGCGGTATCCCTACTGTAGGGCTGGCAGTGTGACGGTGTACTAGACAGATCCCTACGCATTTTGTGGGTTCCAGGCTGGTTTTCTCACAAATGTTTCATTGACTAGTACTTAGTAGTTATATATATCTCAGCCAAGTACTACTGGTATTACCGTAACAGCTCATCAGGATGAATATCAGGAATAGTAGTACGTAGCATCTCTACGAGCTCATCGGTATTATAAAGACCATGAAGCGCAAGGTCGCAGAAATACGAGGGGATGGTATACTGTTGCGACAGACCGACTGCTTTGTTATGGCTGAGACTCGAGCCGTGAGCGATGATCGGGAGAACCAAGGAATTGTGAACTTTGATTCTATGTTAGAATATATTGCCAGGGTACCGCCAACTATACATCAACTGGGTCCCATAGCTCAGTTGGTTAGAGCGTGACGCTAATAACGTCAAAGTCGAGGGTTCGAGCCCCTCTGGGACCATCTCTTTTTGCTTTTTGCTTTTTT